CCGGAAATCGGGATGGGATGCCTAAGTTTAGTTTGGGAAAGTTTCCACCACCTATTATTAAATCTCTGGAACTGCGCGAAGAAACAGATCGCTTTGTATTGGAAACGATTATTCCGACGACGCAAATAGACAAGTTTTTGTTTGAGTCTCGCTCGAAATTTATGGACTTTATTAAACGGCTTGTGACGAGACATCCTCCTCCGGCGACGTTTCCGGTGTAATTTCAAAATTGACAGTAACATATTTACCGATTCGGCCGTTTTGGCAGAGGCATTATTCTTGTCGCGGAAAACACTATATCACATTCGCGTACAAACATCGAAATAAGAATAAAAAAAGGGGGAATATTTCAGCGCTGAAATATTTGTGTATCTTACTGTAGATAAAAAAAATATGCGTGAAGGAGGAAACGTAATTTGGGTTTTCGGGATATTCAAGCCTCGGGCTCTCGGGTTAGTTGAATTAGCATTGAAATTAATTTGGAATAAGTAACATCCGGTGGGGGAGGTCGCCCGTTTCGGATCGAATATTATTAAATTTTCATTAGGCGAACATCAAAGGGGGGTACTGCGGGATGGGAGGGTAGGTTATGGGACGGCAGTCATCTCGCAAATCCAGGAAGCAGCAAGATATCATCGACGAGCGACGTAAATTATAAATTACTAACTCGGTTATTAGATATTACGGGGGGTGGTGTGAAAACCGTTGCTCTGCTTCGTCAATATTGAAGGATCCACCCGACACTCAGCACATTTTGCCACCCCTCCGATGATGTCGAGCACGTGCATATAATATATACACCATGACGAGATCCTAACTTAGTCCACCCTCATAAGTGGATTCTTTTTAACTCCCTGCTATTATGAATAAGCGATAAGAATGTGTATTGGTCATTTTTGTAACACATTCTCTTGTCCTTGTATATATGTTTTTTTTTAATTTCGTTACAAGGGTTGGTCAGCCTTTTGCATAACACTTTTTTTTTCCTGTTGACGTTTCACCCCTCCTTTTGGTCGGCACATTAGGGGATTGGTTGCGGCCGCTAAATCATGCACCGACTCCGACGATGAATATTTCATATTCGCACGGAAACATTTCGTATTCCGGGTCGAGTCAAAACGTGCACCGGAAGTCCGGAAAAGCTCCGGATACTAAGCCATACCCTCTCCTCCTGCTCCCTCCATACATTTAGCGCGCGTTTAATTTAATATTTCAAAGAAATCCTTTCAAGAGGAAGCCAGAGCAATTTCATGTTTCAATAAATGGTTTCGATTTCGTTCAGGTTTCACTCAGACTTTCTCTCAATAACACTTAGTTATCAACTGAACTCATTTTAACAAACTACCCTAACTTCGGATCGAATATTTCATATAAATCTGTTAATTGACTATTGAGTATCCATAGTAGTCTTGTAGAAAGTTAAATATTTCTGTTGATATGTCTCAAATCAACAATAAATTAAACATTATATAATTTTAATTAGACATTCTAAAATGTACATTTCGATTTATAGTATTTTCTAACTTCTTAACATGAAATATATTTGCAAATATGTTATTAAATTAGACGAGTCTTTAATTATAATTTATCTTAAAGATTAAATTTGTTTCAAATGTGTTCAATGTAAATAACAAAAATATATAAAAGAGCATTTAAATCGTATTACCAAAAAGAAGAGTAAAAGTACGTAAAGCGAGGAGTGGCTGTAATAATAGAGGCTGTAAATATTCTATGCTAGTTGCACATATTTGTTATTCGCATCGCTCTGGTCCCTCGTTTATTGTTAAACTCCCATTGCTATAAAATATTTTATGGTGTTACATTTGGACCAGCACCGCCATTTTTTGTCGAATCAAAAAAAAATAACCAAAGCATCGCCTGGGAATCGGTAATTGGCGGATTATATGGGTGATATTATATATAATTTACGGTCACGACGTTTCAACATTTTATTTATATTCGCGTCTCCCCATATTTCATGGTCGTAATTACTCGTTAAAATTCAAGTGGGTGAAGCCCCATATCGTCCATAATTTAGTCCAGTTACACAGGAGGGGACAATATTTTAACAGTGGTTTTTGCATCATTGCATCGCGTCGAGCAGTTTAGAAGCTGTGGACATTTTAGGATTTTCTTGAAACGGTTGCATCGCGGCGTTCGCAGAGTGCAACAACCGCTGCAAACGGTCAATTATCTCCAATAAATGTTTAATGAGAGCGAGTGTGCACCTTTTCAATACACGGGCATCTTTTATTCATCTTGTCTCCACGTTCCAATGGAGAGGAAGGATTCCGACATTTCTCGTTTTCGCGTCGCAATCCGTCAGCAGACCATGTTTGCAAGCATTTGTTGGATGCCGTGACCGAGACGACGGGACCTGGTCTCTCATCCTCTTCTTCTCCTCGACATGTTAGACATTGTGTTATTTAGTGTTTCTACACACTAAACGTGTTCATATCAGCTTCTTCATATCATCCGAAACCGAGACGAGACGCGGAAATTAGATTCACGAGAAGTCGCGCGCACCTGTTAGGATGCCATATGGCTCCCCAAATAGATTATATTCATTAAATTTAATTTCCTTCCTTGATGAAACCATCAGAGATGCATCAATGATCGCTTTATTAGCATTGAGGCACAATTGCTTCATCTGCTTTACTTCTATCATTAATTTATGTATTTTCTCCGTCGTAACTGAATATTACTACAGACCGAATGTGCTAGATTAATTAGACGAGTTTGCTTTACCAATTAGTATTTGTGAGATGAGTTTTGCACAACTATTTATTATAATATCGAAGGACCTTCTCTGACCCTTCCTACTCAGCATCATAAATAACTCTTCAATAGGGTCAGCTGTGGGATATGCTTGAACCCTTGTCGACCAAAAAGGACTATACAATAGTTTTATTTTATGTAGTTCTTCTCCTGAAATTATAATTATTTTTTATAATGTAGATATCAAAATATATTTTTGCAAATGTCACCGATTATATTGTTATTGTTTTTACTATTGTAATGTTTACTACATATTATTATTAAAAATATTTCATTTCAATATAAATAAAAATATATAATGTGATTTTCTCACATAGATTGAATACCATTTTCGTTGGAAATAATGTCTTGAACTGAATTTATTTTTGCTTAAGTAGCATATAACTGAATGTTTCTATTATTAGTAAATTGTCATCAATGTTTGGAGAACAGTCCACTTAAAATACAAATGGATTTGAACATAATAAACATAGATTAAATGAGTGTAACGTCTAGATTATATAGAAATATCTGCTACTTTAGATAACGAGATATGTTTACGTTAAACGCCATCTGCTTATTGTTGCTAGATTTTGTGGTTTATGAATCCGTTTGTCGGCTTAGCGTTTGTAACATACTGTACACTACACCGTGCCGTCTAGGTACTACTATTTGAGAAATGCATCGTTGTTGGTTATTCAAATTAACAACACCTGAACGTGATCGAAATTTGAGTGAGCGTTCTTCGGTTGCGCAATCCGCTCTTCACATGCAGGCATGCACGCCAGCCTAGTGCGTTCTTTTTCAGTTGCATTTCATAACCAGTTTTTTAGCCCGTTCGAAATGAACAAAGAGAGAAGAAAGAGTGATCTCTTCTTCTGCGCCGCAGTCGGGTGATGAAACGAATGCAGGTTTCCGGGAATCTAATCTCACACAAAATGGCTGTCGTACACCTCACCTGCAGCACGTAAAACGCTCCCTTTTATCGCGCGCGGTTTTATTTAGATTGTGATATCACAACCGAATCTTTACCGAGAATGGAGAGCAGCTCGTGCTATCCTATCCTCCACATGGAGAGGCCATCCCCAGGTAGAGTGAGGAAAAGCGAGCGTTTGACTTTTCAATTGACATATATAGCATATTTTTTTTCAGTATCATTTCAGGGGCTCTGACCTTTCTGTTGATTTAAGGCCCCGGGAAAATAACGTTTGTGTACAATGCAATGACCTTTAAGTTTTCGAGCACCGTAATATTATTTATATATCGCACTGGTAAATACGCATACACACGTTTTCATTCGCAACACCAGGAGTGAGATACGTTTACTGCGTCTCTAAAGAATTAGCGAGGAGAAAGCCTTTTTGTTTCTCCTTTCGCTCAATTACAAAACTTGAAATTGATACGTCGCTGATCATTCAATAGTTATTGGTTATATATTCATATAAATAAAAAGTATCATTGTGGGTGGTCGCATCTTCTTTCTTTCAGTCCTCGCCTTTTATTTTATTCTGTTCTTCAATACTTCGCTTTCATTTAGCAAAGTAGATTTCTCTCGGGTTAAAAGGACGACGACGGCTGAAAGAGGAGAGGAGAGACTACGAAGGTTACAGGATTTATACGTAAGCTGCAATCTTATTTGATTAATGGTATAATCTCGGGGATTGCACAAAAGGCAGAAGAAGAGAGGACGCTGTAGAAAGTGCTCACATATATGCATATAAAGATGTTACTGTCTACTTTGCGGGAATGGGATGCATGCACCTCAATTGGCTCTTTATAAGATTGCAATCAACCCACACCGAAAACCACTCTATCACAATAGTCTTCTTTTGTCTTTGCGCTGAATTCGGTGAAATTGATTCCCGTGGAAATTGGTGAAAGTACGCAATTCTTTCCTCGCATGACTCATTGTATCCTATAAAAATGAGCGCGTAATGTTTTTGATTGATCTATGCAGTTTTATGTGATCTCGTAAATATAGAAATACATTCATGGTAATACGCCATGTCAGTCAGTATGCGGCAACTTCCTCCCCACCGATTAGCGTTTCAGTCGAATGGCAAACTCTTAGATTTTTCCCCTAATCCCCTGCCATCCAGGACACTCTCAATCCGTCTGGAAGAGTAAAGTAGTAGCAGAGCGACTAGTGTGAATCATACAGAGCCATTGTGTAACCTTTAATTGCCAGCAGCACTGGCCTCTTGGCGTTTTGTTTGGTGCGCGTTTCAACGAGACGGCGGAGACTTTAGTGCAGCAAGAGCAGTTCAGTCGCGCCTCTCCTTTCGCGTGGTGCTCTCGTGCTTCACGTCTTCGTAGCTCGCGCTTTGTATATTTGTATACACACATCTGTGCATTTCCACCTGGATGACCTGAAAATCGGAACTTGAATCAACGCATCCAATCAATACGTACCATCGATACATTGGAAATATTGAAATGGTACTTTTCCCAACCACCCAGACCCAAGGAAAACGCTAATTTTCACTCGTGGTAATTGCTTTCATCAGTATCTGAGAACATTAAGTTATTTCCACGTGTGGTTTCACATCTTGTTACATCAATTAAAGTTCATCGTGCGCTGTGGAACTTTAATTGGAAATTATTTGGCTGCCCAAATACCTAATTAACATAATATACATTTCTGCTCAGCAATAATTAAATTTATGACGCAGATGAAAGAAGTTTCATATTTCCATACCAATTGCAAATCAATAGCCATAAAACAGTAATCCTAGAATCATTTAAATAAACTATTTTTGAAATATATATTCAACCATAAATGACTTAATATTATCTTATAATATAATAACTATAAAATATATTTTATTTCTCAAACGAAAGTAATAAAATAAATTCAATTATAGAAAAACACTATAAACAGCAATTCAAGATGTGAATGTATAAATGAAATTAATTCTATTCATACGCATGTTCGTATAGGTTATCGACCTTAGGTACTTCGCTGCTATTTATTGTCGTTACATAAAATAATTCCTAAGAAATAATACACACAGATTTTAAGTTTTAAATCTAAGTTTCTGCACCAAAACGTTGCTTGCAGTTAAAATTAGATTTCATAGAGTTAGTCATTTAAATTTAGATTTTGCATTTACTCGTGACGAGTAGAGCTTTTCAATTAATTATTTCCTTATTCACAGGGTAAACATTACACATACATGTAATTATTTTTATCAGCATTTTTTCGCGCAGTTTCATTTTCTCTTTCGATTCCGGGCTGGCTTTCACTCGAAGTGAAATTGAAATATTTCAGTCGAATTGGACTAATTAAACTGAAGGTCCATTATGCAACGGTGCAGAGCAGAAGGCTGCGTTGCTGATTTTAATTGTCTTTTCGCCTTTTTCGGAGTGCGCTTGCACACGCGATTTGGGAAGGGTTAAGAAGAGAAGAAAAGAAAAGAAAAGAAACGCTTTGTAATTATTGTTTGTTGATGTTGTATGGGTGGTTATGCAGGATGAAATTTATGAACGGAAACGTTTCGCTTTTCGCAATGCGCATTCGGAATTGTGGGAGGAAGTTTCAAAATGCATCGCGTTTGTTAAATCATGCATATTAATGCGAGAGGCGTCGCCGGGAGATTAGTAATATTTCTGATTATAAACCTGACACTGTGTTTTACTGTGCGAAAGCCGATGGATCATGATGATGCGTTCCGGCTATATGAATCATGTGATTTACATTTCATTAGTTGAGGTAAATTGTTGTTGCAGTTGCGTACGAAAATGCATAGAAAAGGAAGGAGCTCGACGTTCCGGTTTCAGGCGCTGCGGTTTTGTGCAATACATAAACACAGGTGCCTGAAAATAAATCCCAGAAAGTAAATACTTCGGCTTCGTGTAAATAGCGAAAACGCAGGCAGTTAAATTCTATAAATATTATACGAAGAGCGAACAATTTTTTTTATAGTAAAATAAAGAGTATTTGTACAACCCAATTGCGCTTCTTGCGTCTGGGTTTGCCGGATCGAAGGATTCTGGAAAGTGGAGTGATTATGAAAGTGCGGCTATTTTTAAGTTTGTTCGATTTGCAATCTGGTTTTGATGTGAACTGTGTTGTCGGGCTTGTTAAATAATTATTCTCCCTGATTGTCCGCGTGGGTGCTTCGCGCGACTCCCATCCCATCGCAAAAAACCCAATGCTTTTCAATCAAGTTGGATGGTAATAAGCATTAGCAGAACCGAAGTTTTTTTCTTCTCCGCAATCTTTACTTAATTTTCTTGCTGTGGTCGGTGGTGGTGATGGCTTTTTTCTTATTTTCCTGGGACGGAGAGAGAGAAGAGAGAGAAATGAAGGCGCGCGCCCAACCAAGAGAGAGTTAACAGGTGGGCGAATTCCTTCAGTATTCGTCTTGTTGCTTTGCAATTCACGTGGGTTTCGGGATACCAACTCATATCTTGGCTCGGGCCGCATTTTACAATAGTCGCGGCCGCGACGCCAGATGAACGTTCCACCCCAATTTGCACCTGAGCGCCAAAAAATCACAACCACCTACCACCCCTAAACTGTGCACGACCCCGGCAATAAACCCACCGCGAAGTTTCGCCACCCTTGTGCGATCCCTAAGTGCCCCTTTTATTGTTCTCCCTCGTTCGAGTGTAGGTGTGTCTCGTATATTGTTTTTTCTTTTTGATATCCAGCTCTTAAGCGAGAGAAAGAGACGAAAAAACAGTCGGACCATAAATTTGTCTGCCTCAAGAGACGCCGTTGAAATAACGCTCATTAACATCTCCAGAAATATAAGACCGCAATGGTAAGGGGACGAAGGAAGCATACAGAACAAGAAAACACAAAGCGAGCAAAACGAAAACAAACGAAAAAAAAATGGCCGACGGTTTGGTTAATTTACCTTGTTGAACTTTTAAACACGTGCTGTGGCTGCGCTAAATTTAGAGGTCCCAGCCCTTTTGGAGGAGAACGACGGCTGCTGCGCATTTAAATAAATTCACCCGTGGAAGACCGCCTCTCTATTTATACTTGATTAAAGTTTCTATCGGAAATGGGTCGTCCAAGATATTGCGTGGAGAAGACGAAGGGGCGGCGCGGGTGGCTCAGGAACACCTCGCTCGCCCATCGGGGAGTCTTTTCCTTTAATCAATCATAAAAGGCAATAAATCACCGCCGGCTTCACGCGCCAGACGTTAAAATTCTCCATTTAATTTATTAACGCGCCCAACCCCCGTGAAATCGCCATTACATTATCAGCAAACCCACCCACAATTATTTTGTTTTACCATTTACACTAAATTACTATATTTAAACTATAATTAACAATTATTGACAGTACTACTAATTACAGTAGTAGTTTGTACACCTAACAGACATATTTATATATTTCCATATCACGTCAACATAATTGAACAAATAAATTTCATAATAATACTATTATAATCTACTTGTGTTAATACAAGTTTCAGTGTAAGACCTACTATTCTTTAATTTATATCAGATCCTTTGATTTATTTAAAAACTAATATCATCAGGATTCAGTAATGTTAAGTATCCAACTTAACTGCTACAAAAAAAAAACAAATTTATGTCTGGATATACGGTTAACGAATTTAGTGCGTTGATGAAAACTCGTATATCTTCGGTCGTAAATTGCAACCAAAATGTAAAATTTAAAACCATTAAAATTCAATCAACACGCAAAATGTTTCATTTTCGTATAAACAGAAGATGCAATAAATGGAAGATAAGAGTAGTATTAATAGAATTCAAGTTCAACTGCACACGCAATTCTATATAGTAAATAATTTAATTAAAATTTGTTTTTAAATTATTTCATTTAATAAAATATGCAAGTCTCTGGAAACTTAAATAATAAGATCGAACGTGGGTATTCTTGATGGACCATTACATTTTAATTATACAATCCAAGTGAACTGTTTCAAGAAATTATAGGTTCTTAACCTTCTGCGTGTGCGTTCCAAGGTGGTCCATGAAATTTAATTCATATTATTTATTTATTTTTTAACTGGTAAATGAAAAGTTTCTACTTAAAATAATAACTAAGTTTGTTTTTGTAAGGAGATTCCTAATTACATTTTTACTATAATCATAATTGAATTATTATTAAAATTAATAGATTACAAGTTTATTTTTCTTTAAGTTTCAAGAATGTTAACGCTTTGTAATTGAATCAGAATTTCTATTTTATTTACTGAGAATTTCAATATTTCTTCTATTTTCAAGTTCTATTTAAATTTATGCTAAAGTTTTATAATCATTTATATTAATAGATTTCCAAAAATCTACAATATTATTAAAAAAAAACAATTGTAGGAGTTTATTTTTAAATTGTTAAATAAGTCGATTGTTTCTGATTCGAAATACAAAGATTACCATTTAGTATCAATAAAGCACAGATGTTTCACGCGTGGGATGGTCACGTTGTACCGTGAAATTTCAATTAACCACGATTCTTTCGTTCATCTGGTAATAGATTTCTTTCCTTTAATAAATATTAAAATAATTTCAGGCAATAAATTAAACTACACGCTGATTTAATAGTGTTTTGTTCAGAGTCCCCATTGTATCATTGTGATGTAAATTGTGTACGCGTTGTTTGCGTGTGGGCCGTTGAAGAGTGGCGGCGGCGGCCGCAGGAGCGGCGGTGGTTGCTGCTGCTGCGACCGAACACAGCAGCTTTTAAATTGTGAATATTAATTACAACTGCGCTTGTATTGCGCGTTATCAACAATTTGATAACGACCGAAATTGGGCAGAAATGAACCCTCTGGAACAATAGGTAGTAACTTGAGGGATGTTTGGGCGTAGTACGAGTGCGAGGGTGGTGCCATCAAGAGACCACACAAAACGTCGCCCGACGCATTATCCTCTCTTTTCACAGCGCATCCTCGTAAATTACTACACATGTTTCCTAGAGACGGCCGCTTATATATTTAGAAACCAATTAGTAATATTTTAAGAGAGCACTTACTTCCTGTAATTTCAGAGCTAAACCTTGTTGTATTCTGTTTACCCTTATTTCCCCGTAAAAATAGACGGACCAAAACAACAGAAATGCATGGATTTATCAATGGTCGAATATTGTTAACATATGGTGCCTGAATAGTTTAATGTGGTGTTTCATAATTTCTACTTTATGGTATCCGACTACCGGTAGCTTACATAATCGCATATACTTATATTGAAATGATAGAATGGTTATAAATTTCTTACTTCTTTTAAGCTTTAAAACGCAGCATTTAATATGGTAAAGTGTCGATGCTTAGATTTTTCTTTTGCCGGCCGGCACACAATGATTGCTGAATATTTAAATTGTCAATTGTACGAGGAACTAAATATATTAGTAGTCAAGTGTATATTATCATAAACATCACCTAGCCTTGTTGGAGATTTTCGCATAATTTCCGCCCAACAAACGAATATTACTTCACATCTTCCTTGAGTCACAAACTAACAGCGCTTACCCAACTTTGTGAACAATGATGGATTATTTTTCAAAGCGCATATGCATTGAGAGAATTGTAACTATTTAGGTCATTCGATCAAACATAGGTTTGGATGTCATTTTGACATTATCTAGATTATCGTAAATAATGTTGGATGGAAACTATTATTAATTGATTTTATGGAAATAGAAGAATCAATGATGCAATAAATACCGTTATTTCTGCTGATCGAGCGCGATTGCTGTGCAATTGGTATAAATAAAAACCCAAACAGGAGGTGAACACGAAATGCACGCAGGTTTTTTGGGTTGATTAATGCGGTCAGCGCTTATTTCGTTATCAATTTGCGGATGAGTGATGTTTTGCGGATAATTGGAACAGGGAATTTGTTTTCGATCGCAAATTAACGTTCGTTTTGGAATGGGCTTGTCATAAATTGTATATTCATCATGCGGCAAGTCAGCCGCCAACCTTTCTGGTGGATTAAAAATAGTCTCTTTCCGCTCTTCGCCTCCGTCAAAATACGGGACAAAAAAAGGATGTAAAAAAGTAAACGAAGATAGAGGAGATGAAACTGAAACTACTTTCGAAGATGAAGAGCATTTATTTTAAAAATGGGCGGTTTTATTTTAAACCTCATCCCTCAAATGTCATTAGGGTAATATTTTAATGAGGTTCCAGTAAATGACAATCGCAGTCCATCATAATTTGGTAGAAAATTAGGTATGAAAAAGACAAATTCCCGAAGCGTCTGTAATGACTGCACGGAAAGGATGTTTATAACTTAATCTTCTTTTAATAAGCGCAGCCACACGTGGAAATACTTGCAGATGAATTAAAAAAAAGCAAAAATAATTCTTACACAACTCAATCGTATTCTTTTAGATTCGCTTCGTTAAGCAACAAAGTTACTGAAAGTGTCATGTCCTAAGACTGTAATCAAATCCTTTCCTTTTTTGGATTACTGAAAGTCAAGAGGCAGCAAGTAGAGAGGAGTGTTTTAGAGATAAACAATGGCGACAATTTGCTTCGGTCCGCCGCCTTTGCCTCCGAACAAGAAGTCTTTGCTGTCGGGGGCGTCGCAGCAGCAAAGGAACCGCAAGCACAGCCAGAGTTTGCTTTCGTCGACCTATCACAGCTTCCGGGATCCTTCTGAGGACGAGATCGTCATCCTGCTAACGGAAGATCCGTGCAGGAAGGCAAAGGAAAGTGCGCGAACGGTGACGGGCTCTTTGCGGAGGTGCAGGAACGGGAAAGTTTCTCTGATACGAAGCCACTCCGATGGGAATCTGGATAAGAGCGGCAGGATAAACTCCAACGCTCCGATGACCATCAATAGATACATCAAGGTTATCAGCGGAAGCTGGAAAAATCTGCTGAATCGTGAGTGTTACATATTTCTCTTTTGTTTCAGTCACGCGCTAATCCAAATTGATTGCTCTTTCTTTATGGTAAAAGAGGCGTTGTTGCTGGTACAAAGTTCTCGCGATATACATTAGCCTTTTTCGATAAGAAAATCCCATGCGACAAACCGTATACAGAGTTTGTACTATATACTATTATAAACGTTTTCTCCTCGTGAAATAATAGGATTGCCGTCACTTCCAGGCGACTGTAGTTTACTTACTTCCTGGGATGTCCAGCAGTCTAAATTAATGCTGACACCGATCTCATTCTAGCCACAACCCATTTCAAACAACCAAATTAATTATATGGTAATTGGAAAAGATCTATTAACAAAAATATTAATTATAGTAGTTAAAGGGGTATAAATCCCGTGTGGTATATGTCAGCATGGCAAGACGTTATTAGAAGACATATCATCTTACCCTTCGAGAAAGAATAATTACAGAGCGGCACAGGGCTGGGCATTGTCTTAAAACGAGCCTTTTAAATCATTACCTTGAAACCATTTCTGATTGATATTCATTTTGTATAATTGTTAACAATAAATATTAATGATACATTACCTAGTCGTAATACCTAGTTATTGTTTAAGTATTTTATATAATATCTAGCCAATCTGTAGAAAACTGAATTATTACTTTGCATGGAACATTTTTTCGCCATTCTCCTCGTCCTGTCGTCTTTTAGCGGAATCGTAAAATTGTTTCCATCCAGCTGGTGTTGTTCTGCCCGGTGCACGACCCTCTTCTTGCCAGTTCCTTAATATATAATATTGGCAACGATTCAACTTTACATAAACCTCTTCGGTCTTGCACAAATGCGAGACTTGGATAAACAGAATGGATGGTAAACGAGAGTTTAGTGTCTGCAGGAGAGAAGAGAGTGGTGTGTTAAAACGAATGTGCATGTGTGTGAAAAGTAACACCGTTAATGTCCCGACATCACCTTCGCAGCAGCAGCAAATTGACTTGAGATGTTCGTGATTGTTGTGTTAAAAAGTCCCTTTCCAACTTTAATTTTACACCGAAAAAAATAAACCTTTGCTCGAGTGCTAAATAATGTAAAACCGGTGTTTGAATGCAAACGCTTCTTTGGATGGCTTCGCTTTGATGGCAGTCATTAAATTGGAAGCTAACCAAATAGTCGAAAGTTTTTTTAATGATGCATTATTAATTGGGTTGTTTAAATAACCCGACAGGTATTTGTAATTAAAAGAACAAGAAGAAGTAGAGGAGAGCATTGGGAGTTGTTGGGCAATCTGTTCTTGTTTTCCTATTCCATAATACAATATGTAGTTAGTTGGATGGAGTGTGTGTGTGTATGGATGGATATGCGTACAAGGTGCTTGACTGCAAGCCCATACTACGGCGGCCTTCATTTGAAGAATTAGAGTTCAGTTTGCTATGGGCGGTGCTGCAGCAAGCGAGCAGCAGCAGCAAGTTGAGGTTCTTTCTTTTTATCGTTCTTTAAAGTGGTGTGCTCTTGAACAGTAAATGAATTCAGTTAGCGTTCTGCACGCTCGACAGGAAAGCTATATAAAGTTATTGGATTTGGCGAAGCTGCACTTTCTTCTTCATACACTACTCCCTGCCTACATACATACATCTATATAGGTCTTCTTCGATGAAATTCAAGGATCGCGTTTATAATGCCATAAAAGAAGGTCTGTGGATAGAATTAAGGATGCTTAACGTATCAATTTAATTTTCATTCACTTATATAATTTAGATTAACTATGAATCGAGTTACAGCGTATATAAGATTTTCATTTCAGAATTTAAAACTTGTTAGATTAATAAGTAACATGACGTTTTTTTTTCAACATCTCAAATTGATATTTCAAAAACATGCAGATTGTGTATCATTAGTGAATGATATAAGATATGCAGCTTGATGAATAGGTTTCTGAAAAAATGAGTTCGTATTTTTGGAACTGAGCTTCGGTTCGATGTCATTAATATTCCATTCATTAATTAGGGAAAACGTTGCTCTTCGTAAAATTTTTCGTAACGCAAGGGGAGCGGATGAAAACATATTTTGCGTGCGCAAATAACGAAATCAAGGGGGTGCGGAATTAATAGTAAACAATGGACTTGGGGTAGCAGAATGAGATGGTGATTTACTCATTTCGTCTGCTGTAGTATAAGAGTATACCGTAGTCAGCAAATAGTGTTGTATTATTTTAATGAATTTACGTGCATTCAGGGGAAAGTGAACGAGTCTAGACACCATATCCCATTCATCATTGTGATGTTATTGTGTGCACGAATGATAACAAACACAATTGTGATGCGGATGCAAAAAGGGATAAGAGGGAATAGAGCTCTTCTCCGCCTCTCGTGCTATGGTTCCACTGGTTATGTGTTGCAAAACGGGGCGACGCCGCCGCCGCCGTTTCGTTTTCCAATGATGATTCCATTATCGATTCCACGTAATGGAAAACCGTTCCGTTTCGCACTTCGCACAGCTACACAGTTATCCCTCTATTACAAAATAATAACGTAGAGGAGTCGCTTAATGGATCCAATACAATTCGGCTCTCACATATATGTATGATCTATGACTTGGCAATTTGAGCAATTTCCTGTCAGCACAAAATATTACATTTCGTAAATATTTGTTACCGATGACGCATCAGAAATAACAAAACAAAGTTTCGAAGAGGTTAATAAACTAATAACTAATTTCGTTTTACAATTAGATTAATTTTGTGTAGTCGTTAACTTTTACTTTCCGTCCATCTACTTTTGATCGTGATTTCGATTTCCATATGGTCTGAATCTATCGTTTCTGCACTGCAGCACACGCACACAGGAGGCAACGTTAAATGTATGCTCGATGCATATAGGTCAAGTTTAGTATCATAGCTTGTTATGTCATTGCTGTGTGTCTTGCGTAACACCGAGTTGTTACCAATGCCTGCTTTTGCGCTCCAGCTAATGATGTTTACAAATACGAAAACAATATATCGCTCCAACCATTATTCAAAGTTCAATAAGGATATAAGGTTTCATTCTCTAAATTCGGAGACCTAAAAGCAAAAAAAAAATACAACTAAAAGAAACCACCAACGTTTCCCAAGGTTCTTTTGTTGTATACCTGCGATTTTTTTTAAATGGGGGGGCCAAAGTATTTATTGCGGCCGAAGCCATTATATGATATTTAATAGCTTGTAGTTTTGGTTTCTTCGTTTTTTTTTGTTAGAAAATTTATACTCGTGCATTTTTTTTTGATAACACAGACATCAACCGAGCCTCCATAAAATATAATGGTTTAGATTAAAAAGGATTTTAGGAGGTTCATAACAATAAAAACATAATGAAACAATAAATAACGGGCCGAGGGTACCATCCTTTTGGGATTCTATAAAATATATCGGATTGCGCTAGAACTCGCAAAAGGAGGGTGTTTCACCATAAAGTCCGATGCGCATCTAATGGGAAATCTAAGATATTAACGTTGTAGATGAAGTCAATGTGCAGATCTAATTAAAATATACACACAAAAAATTGTAATCGGGTACATTCATGTTCATTCATCTTGGAAAGTTTTGTGGGTGTAATGGTGATCACGCAATGTTTCGCTTTTACTGGAATTGTGGTTCCAGGAAATCCGAGTTGATTCTACTTTTGTGGACGTGGCATTAAGATTTCTTTATTGCATTTATTATTTTTCTCCGGGAAATGTTAAGCTAAGAATAATTGAGGAAAATTATTTTATGTATAATTATTTTTATTGTAAAGGCCACAACGACAAATTATACGATTTCTAGACAAAAAAAAATACATTTGTAACTTCTGTTTACATTCAAAATGTCATCGGATAATTTCTGACAAATTATGTAATATTCTTTAAATGGTCATATTGAAAGTGAATATATTTTGTTTTTGTTGATTCTATTTTTGTAGATATGACATTAAAATATCGATTTAATTGAAATGATAGAGATTATTAGAAATATGATCAACTATTATTTCTTTTGTATTTGTTACTTTCTTACGTACTTTCCAGATATTGAATGAAATGTTAACTTTGGAATAACTGTTTCGTAGAGGTTATCACGACTCTTTGCTTGATTTATCCAAGAAATATGAATATCTGTTTACTTTCTAATTATCTAATTGGCGGATATTTTCATTTTTAGTAATCGATTAGTAGTAAATGATGTAATATTCTTTAAGAGGATGTTGATTATATTAATGTATCTATCTGTTAGAGTTTTTAGAATTGTTGAGGAGACTAATAATGAAAAGAGGTCTTTCTTGTACTTAATATTGGAGCAATCATGTGTGATTATGTTCTAAACCAGTTCATGTTTTTGTTCGTAATGCGAAATGGACATGACGTAAACAAATAAATAACCCATTTAATTGTGGCAATTATTTTCTGTAAACGTTTTGTGTGTGTGTCCGAATATGTAATGGATTCACATGAGGAATACCGGTTTTGTTTTTTAAAAAATGTAATTAGTCTGGATTTCTGAAGAAACGCGAGAGGCGCCCATCTCATTCATTTTCGTTATTACCCTTTCCTTTAGCTGCTCACTTTTCTAGCGCTCAGACTGAATGGAATGAGGCTGGGATACATATAAATGCGTTTTATCAATAAACTTATTTATGAATGAAATGCTAATGAAATGGTCTACTATTAAGGAAATATAACGTAGGCACCAATGCCTCCTATCTAGTCAGGCATCGGCCCACTGTAGATCCCTGACCGAGTATTTATAGCTTGCGCAATTTTTACCTTGTCCGTTTGTATTCGTTTTCATTTTTTCCGTTTTCTCTTTGGTATTTTCAACACTTTTCTGTTTCTCATAGTAGGCGGAGGGAAGGAACAAGTCAATTGGTTTTTAGTATTATTGCGCCGGGTAATTAGCAGTTACATAAGCTGAATTTAGTTGGGCGCGCAGGGATTTGGGCCCCTCTCGAATCGAGATTAAATTCCATCCGAGAGCGAATTATTTTCGTTTTAAACGATTATTGGAGGTGTGTGCGTGTCTCGCTTGAGTTTTGTTCATTTTCGGGGTCGTTGCGATCGTTACGGATTCAAATTAGGCTCGAGCTGGGGAAGAAGGGGCTATTAGCAATAATGCATATTCATCGAGAAACGTTGTTTCTGCGATTATGCCATGTTTATGTTTTGTACTTCTGTTGCTCTCTGCATCAACGGGCGCCCACCTACATTAATGGAATTACAGTCACGACCTCCTCCCTTCTTGCATTAAACATTTTAATTAATTCCCATTTGTTTCTGACATGTGTTTAAGACATATTGCAGACACGCATCCTTGTTGCCATTCTCATTCCAAACAAATTCCCGAATATTATCCGTGGCGCAACAGGAGAGAGATAGAGAGAGCATAGAAATATGATCATGCTATTTATTGAGCATACATGCACCAATATGGCATGCGCATAGATAAATCAATATGGCACTTCTTACTTTTTCAGCTGGAATGGGTTATGGGATTTGCATAATGTATGGTATCGCGCCATGGTTGGCTTCTCCAGCCGCAGGAGTCAATTGCTGGAATGCGTACACGGAGGTGTTAGCGGCTGTAATGAATACGTGCAGGCATGTACCGATAAGAGGGAACAATTTACATGTTCAGCTACTCTAATTAATCATTCCGGTATGACGGTTTCGAGAGGGAGCCAGATTTAATTAATATATTATACGCGGTCCCCAGTTTGGACTGGAACGAAAATAAAAGAAGAGAGGTGAAAGAAACTGCGAACGGCTTCCTTGTTCGGTCGACTGCCGGACATAAATTACCTCCGACAATGCTCACCGTGCCAATATACACATTATGATCACTCTTTCAAAAAAAAACCCTGATATTCAATGCTACTCATATCAATAGATAACGCACTACATAATTCATCAGTAAATCGTATTAATTACACATTCAATATTTTAATGATATCACTTTAAATTGATTACCTGGTTTAAAGGTGTGAATGTAGTTCAAACACACCAAATTTTATATTTTGAAATTTTGTTCTACCAAGAATAAATAAGTATATATTAAAAATACTATTACAACAATTGTTTAAAAGCCATATTAATTGCTGAAATTAGTTTTGTTATATATAAATGCAAACATTTACCCATTCAATAATTAAAACCATGCATTTATACCGATTTATAAATTTTCATTACAATTTAAAATGGATTATTAGTTAAATCATTTTATCCATGTTCATATTTATTTAATATTTATGTTTCAGACCGTTGTTAATATAAATTGATATAAATTGCATTAATCATTATATCCGTGTCCCTTTATCATTATATCCGACATAATATTCAATATTATTATCACAAATAATTATTATATTTAAATATAGTTGTAAACGTAATAGTAAATTAATAGGTCTGACTTATTTTATATTTTCAAGAGGAATGTCCATCTCTTGGAGATGTCTATTAACTATTATTAATCTTCAATATTTTATGATCCGTTAGAGTTGCTGTTGCGTAAACAACATAGTGTATAAATTGAATGCAAGAAAATAAAGCTTTTGATGGCTGTACGGATTGGCAATAAAGCTTTGAAAAAGTTAATAATTTATATTGACGCCTGGAGTCCTTCGTTGTAAAGTTCCAACAACTTTACCATAAAATCAATTACTTTTTTAACTGTAAATTTTAGTTAGTTCACAGTTCATAACTCGCCGAAATTAAATTTCGTAAAACCCCTTCGACTTGAGACTTTGTAATACAATAAAAAAAATATGTATATAAGTGCAATTAAAAACTTTATTAATTTCGTTTTTGTCGCGACGCTCTGTTTTTAATTGTTTAAACAAGGTAATCCCGTTGATTGGCAGGCTTTTGGGTGGGTGGATGGCGTTTCGTCTAATTGATTTATTCGAAGTACTTGCCTTGGATTTCTTCCTTCGACGACGACCATAAGGATTTAATATTCCTGTAAGGAGGCCACCCTTTATTTTTATTTGTCGCTGCAGACGTGGCTCTAATTAAATATGTAAATTTAGCGTTTACGCCCACCGAGCTACGCTGAGAATTTATAAAATCGGTAATTTCCTTCTTAAATTAATGAGGACTTTTATTGGCAGTAATCTCGGACCGAAAACATCCTCAACCTACGCTCCTGTTACTCTCATCTGCTCTCAGGAATTGCAACACCATAAGCAGTTTGTTTTAGAGAGGCAATAGTCAAGTGACTTGTATGCAACATGTTCGTTATTCGGTTATCGTAATCAAGTTGGATTTTTATCAGCGCGCTTAAGGGAACGTAAATTCTGGGCTTACCGTGTGTGTGGGCTATACCTGATCCGGGCTGGAAGAGAAGGACAGAGCAAAAAAGGAAGTGAATTATTTCAAAACCATATGTTCGATAATATGCAAATGGACATCAACCTTTCATTTTAAAACAAATACATAACACACGTACCTGATTCGCGCACAGACACATGCACACACATTGTGCATTTTTTCGTGTTACATATTCATAATGGATATGCAACGCGTATTATTTATGCTCGAGTCTCTTGGTGAGCGTGAGCCGAGTTTTTCCAGCAAAATCGAAAGTAAAATTGGCGCCAGCCACCAAATGTGGGCGAGCATCTCTTGCGTCACGTGCACCAGACGTTGCTGTTGCTGCTGCGACCGTCAAATTGAAAATTCCGACACTCTTAACACCTGACGGTGAAAGGTAAATAAATCTAAGACCGGTGTCTGGCGCCTCTCGCAATTATCCCATTGTGTGTACCGAAAAGACACTTGGACTTTATTGCACCGCAGGGGAATTGTCGCGCAATTGCTCATAAATTTGTTTACCGAACTGCACTCACCATTACCTGCACTTTTTCAACTCGAACCCGCATTAATTAGCGCCTGTTGGCTACTTCCTCGAAGGATTCCAACGAGTTCTCATGTCCTGTCACTTGCAACAATCCAGACGTCATATCTGCATGAAATGTTATGATTTCATCAACTTGTATGGTACACTTGTTGATCGTAGACGATTTGCTAGAATATCTAGTTCATGTACATTCAAACAATACAAAACTTGATTGATGGCCCCTTGTAATAATCACAATCTATTAAAATTTAGATAATTCTTTTATGGATTTCGCGTTTTGTTTGTAATATCTTGCGATAATTCAGATATATTCGCATATATGAATTCGGATTGTGCCCGAAAAATAAATACACAATGTAAGGTTTTGAACCTTAAACCATAACAATTCGGGGTTTATTTTACTCGACGGGAATGTGTCAAGGCGCAGTCAAAACATAAACAAATCCGGTTTAAATGCACGCCTGATCGCTTAAATGCGGAATGATTGATCGAATGTATGAGTGTGAGCGAACGGCGAGCAACGCCCCAGAATTACCTTATCCTGGGGCTGGCTTTGCGTATATGTTTGTTCGAATGTTTTTGGGAGGGTATTTCCATCAGTCATTCGGTGCTGCTAAGACTAAGATCTGCAATTTGGTGCGGATAAAGTACGATGAATTGCACTATTATCGTTGCACGTGAATAATGTTCTTTGTTTCTTTCCTATCTTTACAGTTGGCGGCATGTCGCGGCCCCCTAAGCCGGCGGCTACAGCCAAGAAGGTCGCACCGCCGGCCGTACCCCACGAGTTCAGGCATTCCGGAAGTTCCTTCGGATCTGCTGGTTACGCTTCCTCAGAGGACGCAGGATTCCTCGCTCCCTCTGAACCACCAGGAGTGCCAAGAGGTAAGTTAATTAAACATTTTTTTTATATAAATTTAAACGATACTAAAAATTGAACAATGATTATCACACTAGTTCAGTTTCGTGAATATTCTAGACAAATCAATATTTAGTAGTCATGTTCTTATGAGTATTAACAGTAATTTCAAGCGTAGCTTCTACTATATCTTATAAATCAATATCAAGATTGATATAATAAACTAGAAAGATATTACATATTATTTAAAAAAAAACTAAATTGCTTTCAACGATTTATAAGTGTAGTTGTAATGTTGAAAAAATGTTAAGTATATACAGCAAAAAAGAAGAAGCGTTTAATGCAATTGGTTTATTTCATCGTCTCGAATTGATAGAGATTTGAAACATCGAGGAGGAATTCCCGTCTCCTCCTTCGAACGTGATTTATTTGGTGGCGGAGTGTGTGCGCACTTGATTTAAAAAAATGTGCACTGCATTCAGTCAGTCTGGCTTTAAGCTCGTAAATAGATTTTGTGGAAAGCAAGCAACTGGCCTGCCTGGATTGGATGGCTGACTGCCTGTGCTTTTGCTGCTGCTGCTCAACTAACAACACGTCCGATGGAAATGGTCGATTATCAATCACCATTGCAGTGTGAAAGAGCGATGGCCTGCGATACTGGGCTATTTGTCTAATCCTGAAAAGGTTGATCGTCTTCTGTTCACTGCCCTCGCACTCCCTTCCCTTGTGCGATGAAAAATAAATGATTTTCCCGGAGACTGCTCAATAATTAATAACACCGTCTACGTCTGAGAATAAAAAATCGCACAAGTACGTGATTCCAAAAGGAGATAAAGCATCTTCCTTGGCGCCTGAATATAAAAAAATACCAGTGAGTATGTCGAAGGAGAGAAAAGAGAGACTAGGAAAGGGACGAAAATGACAATCGTTAGGAATTTTTTTTATTTGTGACACTTTGATCGGTGGGCTCGAATCCACTATCTCCTAACCCGATGATGAAATTGAAATTTTATGTTTACTCCGATCGAATCGATTTCGTGTAGAGATAACGTTTAGTGCTCATTATTTACCTTGCTTTCTAGTATTCCGGCGTCGCTCCGAGCTTTCAGACACTATAAAAATAAATCAATATTTTTAATAGATGTGTTCATTAAGAATGGAGACCCCTTCATTCGTGTTCTTCTTCAACCAATCAAGGTTGCGAACTTTCCTCTTTCCGCAGGGCAAAACTCTTTCTCTCGTTTCGTTAAGGAGGACGTGTTTAAAGCGACTTAATGGTCACGCTACCGTTCACCAGGAAAAAAAGCACTCTTCGAGGGAAATTTATTGCAATCGCAAATTTACAGCCAATTTATTTTCCGCTCGTATTTTTGTGAAAAGAGAATGTTCTTTCTACCCTTTAATTTTGCAATTTCAATAATAAGAAGATTTATTTTGCATGCTCGTTCAGTGTTTGCCTCTTAAGGATGGTCACTTTGTTTCCTTGTTTTTTTTTCAAAATTAATTTCCTTCTGATTTATAGGAGTAGTAAATCTGACGAAAAATGGCTTGATGTTAATTTCGCAAATTACAACACACATGAGGCGGTGGTTTTCAGAGGGGAGTGAATGAAATCAGGTGCACTCTTTGTATTGTTAAAAAGATGTTAACGGTACGACCTTCCAAGTATGGAGATGGCCGCTTACAGCAGACGCGTCAAACTGGTTCGTTCGTTATATATTTATTGATTGGAATTTTAGGAGTTCAATCACTCCCATTCAATCGATCTCTCCTCTCTTCGTCTCTCTTTCTTTCGCTCTGGTACATAGCACACACTTTACTTACGGCAACTGCAATACATATTTACATTTAACACTTCATCATTTCAAACGACTTCTTCATGTTTTCGCTCTGCGGCGGATATCTGCATATTTTAATTTATTAGTGTCACTGCGAGGCGGCGCGCATTCATCATCCGAGCTCATACTTTCCTTAAATTACTAACTTTGTGTGTTCGTGTCTTTTGGTCGGGAGAGCCTCAGAAATAACTAGAAATTTCCTTATCCATTCAGCTGCGTCTTTGATTAAGATGATTAACTTCTCACTATCTTTCGCATTTCCTAAAGAAAGAAAAATATCCAACTCAAGATGAATTGATGGATGAGTGGTAATTGCGTATCGCGTTACAATTCACTGAAATTATTGCATCACTGACCTTAGTGAAGCGGAGCAATACTTGATGCGATCAGAATGAAAAAGGAACGAATTGCAATAAGAAGCAGAAGAGGGAATGAAAAAAAAAAGCGAAAGAAATAAATGCCGGCATTCTTCTTGCGGATGGTTTTAGTTGTACGGCGCCGCGAAAGGCAATAGCAACCTCGACTTGACTTTGCCATTTCTGGATGCGCTGTTAAATGTTGACAACGAGAAGACGACGGTTAGGTATTTTTATGAAATCCCTTACCATCGGTTTTGCAGTCTTTGCTTATTCATGCTCGCCCCATCTCCTTTGTTCTCTTGACTTCGCTTCCTGGTTATGCGAACTATTTTGCTAATGTCCCATCATTTCCTAATTAAGGTTAACGAAATGCCAATTTCCTCTGCTTTCACTCTCACGATATAATTGAAAATCGAAGGTTATTTAACCTGCACATTTATTCAACTTTTACTCCTATGTTGTTGCGATCGATAATTCGAGGAATTCTCATGTTTCTCACGGGTCTGTTCACCATAAATGATTCGGTCATCGATTGAGCTACCATAAATTTACCATTGATGGGCGTAGTCAAAGCTCGATTTGGATTTTAGAAAAATAACAAATCTAATCTAAATATTTTGCATTTTATAAATGGTATTTACGGTTATTTACAGATGATCACTCGGATTATGGGAGCACAGTTAGTGGAAGCACCGGAAAATCTCCGGGACCGGTCTTCCCACCGCCTTCGTTCACCTTTCCGACAACGCATTCGGGAGCTGTCCTCACCCACAAGGCAGCAGTCTACTATCACCACCAGCTTAGTCTCCAAGAAGACCAAGGAATTGATATGACCCAAGTAAGAGACTAGCCTGTGGTATTTTTAATATAGTTATGCTAATATGACTTGTACTTCTTCAGTCTCCAGGAAGAGATAGTCCCGGATCATCGAGTGGCAGTGCAGGTTCGGGATCGAGACATAGCACGGCGTCTTTGGACAGCGGAAGGGCATCTTACCACCCTTTGAGTACGGCTGGGCGCAGCACGATAGGATCGGCCAATAGCCCCAGGTGCTCATTAAGTTCGTGTTCGATTGGTTCCGATCAGGGTCGGATCGAACGGATGATTCTGCAAGGTGTTTCGGTAAGTTAGCGCTCGTTCGATTGAATATTTAGACAATATGCTGATTACGTTTTGCTTTTGGTGATGTTCCACGATAGGATCAAGAAATAATCCACGCTTGGCTGGTCGAGCTGCAGTTCGAGGAATATATCCAGCTGTTTCTACAGGCTGGCTACGATCTTCCCACCATTGGCAGGATGACTCCGGAGGATTTAACGGCGATAGGTATCAAGAAACCTAACCATCGCAAGCGCCTAAAGTCCGAGATTGCGACTCTCAACTTGCCGGACAATTTACCCGATTATATACCAGTATGTAGTTCAATTAATATTCGTTGGTTCGATATCGTAATTGACTCTTTTCTGTTTACAGGGATCATTGGAAGAATGGTTGAGATTGTTGCGATTAGAGGAGTATCAGCCTGCATTTTTGGATCAAGGCTACCACACTGTTGACGATGTAGCACAGCTTACATGGGAGGATTTGGAGGAGTTTGGTATAGTGAAGTTGGGCCATCAGAAAAAAATCATATTGGCGATTAAGAGGATTAAGGACATTCGGGCGGGAAAACGTTTCAATACGGCGGAAATGAACAGATCTTACACTCAACAGGTAAACCAAAACTAGATTTACATTATATTCATCATCTACCTTTCTCTGTCTCTGTCTCTCTATCTATCTATGTATTTATCTATTTGTATATCTCCACCCACGCTCCCCGAAGCGCATGGTTTTCTATTTATGATTTATGTTATTATTATTTTGTGGTAATCGCAATTGAGACTCCGGAGACTGTTCATAGTGTTATTACCGAAATGTAAAAACGTAAGGACTAGTCGCTTATGCTGCATGTTTGTTGTTGTAAAGGATGTCGTGGTGCACGCACCCCTGGGTCCGTCATCGCCCGGTGTTCCGAACGTCCACAGCACCTTCCGCTCATTCCACCAACCTTGGGAATTGGACCAAACGCGACAACTTGCCGGCGCCGGCACGCACTACATACAGTTTTGCACTGACATTGTTCCCATCAAGGTATAATATACACTTTAGTTAAACCTACACTTATTACTCTACTTCTCTATATGTGTAAATGTGTAATCGATGTCCAAGTTGCTCCTCATTGCCCGGCTTATATATTTATATCAAATGTTTGTTACAGATTAGAACAGGCAGAGGCAAGTCTTTAGAGTCGCTGGAGGATCCAACCGAGAGAACCCATCACACATTTAGCGTGGACAACGCGCAAACCCAACAGATGTACTATCCACAAACGATGCCGTGGCGTAGATCCTACGATGACGGTGATATAACACCCACAAACGAGTCGGGATTGTTGTACGAAGGCGGCGGCACCTTACCACGACCACGAGGTGTCATCAGACCTAGACCGATAGCGAAAATACAGGCGAAAGCTCGCGAATCCTTCCCGGACTTTGAGAAGCCGCAATTTAACACGGCCCCGCAATCTCCATATAAAACATTGGCGCGAGATATAATCGATGGCACGAAGTATCAGATGCAATACGGAAGTCCGCTTATGGGCAAGAAGATGCCACCGAATCCACCGAAGCGTTTAGATTCGTGCAGCGAGGGCGGCGAGACGACGACAACGGTGGAGATCCACCACGTCCAGACTTCCAGTCCGTTACCGTTGCCGGCTTATCCCAGCTCCGATAGTCTGAGTATATCTTTGGAGGCTCAAGGCGATCTTCCGCTTCCGCCACCACCTGCTCCCGGCACACCTCCCGGAGCACCAAAAATGAATTCTTCCAGATCGTGGGGCGCTGAAGAACAGGAGCTTATCAACACATTGGCGTTGCAGCACAGAAACGGCTCTGATGCTAGTTTTAAGGTATGTTAAACTAAAAATCATCAAAAGTTTGTTCTTTATTTTCTAAATTTATTTATTTTCTTATGGTTTTAGTCGAGTTCAAGCACAGAATCAGATTCACTGCCATTCGCGAATGAAAATGCCGGCACGATAAGGACGAGGGCTGGAAGCAGAGGCGTCGAATTCTCTCCTGCGAAACCACGTTCAGGGTTGCCTCCACATCCGTCCCCGACACCAAACAGGCAACCTCCGTCCGCCAGCCGCCCTCAAAGAACGGAGTCCGTCGACGTGCTCAACGACATTGGCAATATGCTCACCAATTTAACACACGAATTGGACGCCATGCTGGAGGAAGAGAGATTAGAACAACAGCAACAGTCATGTTGCGAATAAGACTGATACAAAACACAAAAGGAACGTAAGAACAAATCGTGGTCCTGGTGGTCCCGTTTTCTACTTCTCTTTACATTCTTCAACAGACACTTCGGTTCAAATCACTTTATTCTCTCTTTTAATTTCGTTTATTTTTATATGTATATAAAGAAAAAAAAAGGAAAAGATAACGGAAATTAAACTTCATTTACAAACATAGTTTGTAACAATTTAAGCCTTTCCAGTAACTTAACTACTTATTGTTTTTCGTTTGTCTTCGGAAATTCTTCATTAACCTTTTTGTAAGTTTTGAAGAGAGTGGCTGACAACTGGAGAAGGTCCATGTCTGGATTAATTGTTTCTTTGTTTATTTTTCGATAAATTCTATTTATTTATTATCTATCATAGATCTCTGAAAAATCAAATTTTATTAGTTAAAGTAGACGTATTGCTGATGAAAAAGAAAAACATATTTGTGATATCCTTTAATTGTTTTTAATCTTATTTTATTTTATGTTTTCAAATTGAAATAAAAATCTTTTCTATTTAATTACAATTAAGTGCTTAGGGGTACTTAGGAAGATTTGCACATTGAGCCTAAACCAAAGATTATGATATTATATTGATAGGAAAAAAAATCTCTTTGATTTTTCTATTTAAATAATACTGTAATCTTTGTCTGAAAAAAAAACTGTAAAATTTCTATTATTTTGTAAATGTTTCTTATCATCGTTTCGAACTATGTATGTATAGTCAGGGTTTGCAGCAATTCTTTAGGTGATAGGCTCTATATAATATATTTTATTTTTTGTTTGGAAATTTTAAATGGTATCTATTAGATGGGAGAACGATATCGGCCATTTTTAGCGTTATCTACGTGTATATAGGTTGAGTATATATTATAAATAAAAAAACAACTAATTTTAATTTTACATTTATAATTTCTGTAGAATTTAGTTTTATTATTTTGCATAGGGAAAGAAAACTAATTGGGAATATTCGGATAACAGATGAATTTTTGTACAAAGCCAAGTTTAGTATACGGAATACAGAAGAAGGAAGACGTGGAAACAATATGAATTAGTTAGGGCGTTTTAGAGCATATGTAAAATACATCACATTCGGTGCCCAAAAAAAACCGTTTTCCAAACTAATTACAGAAACGTCTCATTTCTTCTATAAATATGTGAAATATGTGTCGTCGCTTATAATCAATTTTCCGTTTCGTTGGTTCGTGAATGTTTGAAGACGCCTTGGCAACAAGATTTAGTCATTTGTTGGTTTGATAGGGAAAAACAAATGAACACAAAAGACTGGTAGTTGGATTTTTTATCTGAAATTTAACTCTAATTTGACATGTATGCTTTCTTTTATTTCATACTTTATTTTTGTGCCATATGCAACAAGAACTTTTTATATATAATATATATAAAGATGAGGAAGGTGTGAAAAAAAATATTGGAAATTAAACGCAAACCATGAGTGATGAGGTATAAGAGGGTATGAGGAAACTTTTGTAAAGTGTAGCCAATTTTTACATACATTTTTAGATAAATAAACAAGTAAAGGTGGTATATTTTAGTGCATACATGGAATGATTAAAGAAACACAAAAAATAAATAAAAAATACATGGGATAATTAAAGCAAGTGTTACGTAGCATTAAAGATCTGTGTTCGACATTATTGTTTATATAAAATATATGGTAATCTTTTGAGTGCTTATTAACATTAATTTTAAGTTTTCTGTCCTTATTTTCTTTTATTATTACTTTATTTCGATAACTATGTTTAATATTATACATACATAAAATATTATAAATACCCTATTCGTTGTTATTTTGTACAATTTTTTTACTATTATTTAATTAATATTTGCTTCAAGCCGAATATGATGCGTTTCAGTATGAAGCTTGGTGCAAATATGATTAGCCATTATTTAAACTACTTAATCAAAAGTAAACAAAAGCCATACAAAACATTGGGAGCCTAATTGTTTAATAAAACTACTTAATATTATATATTATATATTTTTAAAAGTAAGACATTTCCTGCATTCATAGCCGTTATTACAATGTCCATTTAATTTCTATTATATTTGTTTAATTATATTTGTTAACAATGATTATGAAAATAGAATAAATAAATAAATGAAAATATATTTTGTATATTTCTTTTAATACCTTCTGACATTTTTCATATAATTGATTCTTTCAGCCAATAATTATTTTTGTTGTACATTCACACATATTACGACTGATTTTTCTAATCTTTCTTATGTTATTCTACTGTAAAGATGTTTTATATATAAATATATTTATGAAATCTAATGCATTTTATTTTCTATTGTTATAATTTATTGATAAATTTCATATTCTAGAGATATTGAGTTGGTATATTATGAAAACCTAATTATCTTTTTTCTTCTGTTGCACGGTTAGTAAAAACACAAATTATTTATAGCTCTTATTATTTTTGCTCAATATAGTAGAATCTAATAATATATGTTCTTAAGATTCATACATTTTATTTAGAAACATTTACAATTTATAGTAATTGTAACAAAACTCAGCTTGTCTTTTGTACAAATTTGTACAAAGTATTATCTACTTTTTTTCTAATAATGTACTAATAGTAGTTTCAATATATTGTTAAAAATTAGTTTTATAATTACACCATATACATTAAAAGTTTTATTAGATAACGTATCTTGTTTTTTGTATCAAAATTCGAAAAACACGTAACATAACTCGGGTGCAGTGCCACTTGGATACATAGATTAGTGTTTCCCAAAATTTTCCTGCAACGGAACACTTTGTAAATCCTGAAATTAATTTTGTGGGTTAGATATTTATTTAGTAATTATTTCATTCCAGTTTTTCACGGAATACATTAACTTAACATAGTTTGGGAATCTCTGATGAATACAATGGTTGCAATTCGCGTCCAAAGTTAACACTCCAAAAAATAGTGTTTTCACATTTGATTGATTGTCTCGAAAACTATAATAGATAAAATAGATTCAGGAGATGCATATGAAAACTCGTTGTTTGGCGGAATGTAGCATGCATTGCTTATTTTGTGTGGTAGGCAATAGTTTCGTAGACCCTGACATAGATGATGTCGGAGAGTTTGAATTCCAATATTTTTTGTGTGTGATGAACACTACATTTTTTTTGGCCTGTTACCCAAAATGTCTCGCAGTATCAACACTGTCACGTGTATCCTAGGTTAGCCATCACTGACCTCATGTAATAAATATGAACTGATTAAAGTTTAATTAAAAACGGGTCATTGAATAAACGTGTGAAGAATAAATAAGCAAATTCAGATAGTTCTTAATCGTTTATGTTACGTGAATGCAAGCTAATAAGAAGATTCTTGTACATAATAGGCTTTAACCAACAATAAGCAAGAGCAGATGGTTAAAATAGGGTTTAAGGTAAATGAGTAAAAAATTGTAGATATTAGATACTTTTATTATCGTTAGAATATTTCTTTATTTGTTGAAATCAATTAGTTTGGTCAGATCAATTTATAAATACCAAAGTTTAGAATACACTAGTTGTTCATATAAAATATATATTTGATTTTTCTTTATCTTTTCAATTTTTGAGAAAGTTTCCAGTTATAAATGACACGAGTTTTATCCGAAGATAATAAATATTTAGGAAAGTAGCGATAATAACGATTATAGTTATTCGACCAGAAGGAAAATCTCTTCTGCGCATTGCTAGAAGTTGGTGCTGGCGTATAAAGCATAAAATTCCGGTGGATTTTCCTGGGGGTAGGAAAATATTGCAAAGGCCATCGGAGCAGAATCAGCGAATGCGGCAGAAGTTAATGCGGCGTGAACCGAAATTTTAATATGAATTTAGCAACAAATACAAACCATTAATCTTTGAGTCGCTAACTACAAGTTGTACACGGATATGCGTTTGAACACTCCATCAACTTTTTGAACAAAACAAAGTGAACGCTTAGGGTGGGCGTGTAAAAAGGGAGAAAGGCTGTACGTTATTGAATGAGGTCCGTACACTGCATAAAGTGTGTATGTGCAAAATATAATAATCTAGCGTAGGAAGAAAGTAAAACGGGCTTTTGTTTGTTCCCAAGGGATGAAAACACACACTCTCCATTCGACCTCGTAAATAAATTACTCAACACATTTTTATGCTGCCGTAAAAAAAGAGAAGAGGAAGAAGATGAGGAGGATCCGAGGCGAAAGCATTTTTGATGTTCTGCCTGTCTTCACTGGAGACACATTTATTATCATAACACAATACTTTCCTTTTTTATGAAATTTTATCAGCTACCGCAACGGGAGTACGCGTGTGAGAGAGAAAGGGAAAAATCGTTTTCCAATCTTGGTTGCACCAAATGAACAGTAAATATGCAAACGGAATAGCGAGAAAAGAATAAAGTGGAAAAGTGTTAAAGTCCCGGGAGTTCGCCATTGGGGTGAGAAAGTTTTTCATGTAAAGTTTTATAGGAGACATAAATTTGATCAGCTTTATTAGCATACGTTTATGAACTTTACAATCCGTAAACGAGTCGAGTGTTCTCTGGGGCTGCTTACATCCTAGAAATTGCTAACCATTGTACGAATGCAAAACAGTTTTCTTTTGTGTACTATACACAACTCGCACATAAATATATCTCCTACTCACTTGCGTCCGCTGTATACATTTTTTTTGTTGTTGTTCCTGAATGTTCTTATAAAACCCTAAGCCTTTCCCTCCGAACAACAGTTAAAACACAAAAAAGCGGAAAACTAAACAAATAAAGGCGGAAGCTCGTTACTTTGTACTGAAACATAATTTACATTTGTTCCATATTTCGGATGAACTTTTTAAATAAATTTTTATACGACACAATAGAAAAATATTTGCTATGCTTTTATAATATAATTATTTTATAATATAAGAATCACTATATACATTTTTAATATAAAATGTATACAATTTTATTTCAAAATACAAATTTTAATCTATAAAAACAAAAACAGTGTTTTTCATATTTTTTTGTCTCTTGTCCTTTTTTTTTTTATTAATAAGTGAAAATCAGATTTCATGTCCAAAATTCAACAATATTATAAAAAGAGTTCAAAAGATTTGTATTTGTAATCAGAAAATAGATAGTTCATCTTAGAAGCTATTTAACTATTAGTATCTAATGATTATGTGTCTAATAGATAGATCTATTATTATCTATTATAATGAACAGTTTTCAAAATGGAACCAACCATTTTTATTTATGTTGATGTTTGCATATTTATTAGAGAAGTGAATGTTTTTTAACGATTCAAATTAGGCAAGATTTCCATACTTAATGCTTGTAAATTTTATTGTATTGATGTCTGATTATAATTGTTTGTAATGTAAATAATTAGAATGGTTGGACATGTCTGTTGTTTA